CCAAGACAGATTTGTTCGTTGTTTTGGCAGTCCATGGTATATTCAATATTCTTCTCCAACACCACAATTCAAAGGCAGGAATTCTCTTCCTATAGTATGTGAATTTTATCTCAATAAATCTGTTTAGAAATGTACAACCACCATGGAAAACAATTTGAGAAATTCTTTTAAAGTTAAATGCACACTTACCACTAAAAAAAAAAGCGGCCATCAAACCCATTGAACCACAAAACAAACAAAAAACAGTTGGCATGGAGTCAATTGCCCTTGAGTTGATTTCAACTCATGGTGACCCCATGTGTGCGCTCCACAGGATTTTCAATGTCTGTGATCTTTGGGAAATAGATTGCCAGGCCTTTTTTCCAAGGCATCTCTGGGTGGACTCGAACCACCGACCTTTTGATTAGTAGCTGAGAGTGTTTAACTGTTTGTGCCACCCGTGGGCTCCACACTTACCATCCAAAACCAAAACCAGAGCCAAATCCATTGCCATCGTGTTGATTTTGACTCATAGTGACCCTGTAGGAAGGAATAGAACTACCCCGTAGGGTTTCCAAGGCTATAATCTTTAGGGAAATAGACTGCCACACCCTTCTCCTGCAGAGCGGCTGGTGGGTTCAGACTGCTGACCTTTCAGTTAGCAGCCAAGTGCTTAACCACTGCGCCACCAGGGCTCCTTACACTTACCGTACAACCCAGCAATTCCGCTCGAAAGTATTTATCCAAGAAAAACGAAAACATATATCTAAACAATGACTTGCATGTGAATGCTCATCTTTAATGTTTACAGAATATTAAAGTGTTCTATTCCTACTTTAGTTTTGGTAAGTTACATTTTCCTAGAAATGTGTATATTTTATTTAAATTTTAAAATTGATTGGCATGAAGTTGTTCAGCGTATCCTCTTATGACTTTTGCATGCCTCTAGCCTCTAGAGTTGATATTCCCCTTCCATTCCTATTTCTTTTTCTTCCTTGGTCTCACCAGATATGTCCATTTTTAGTCATTTCAAAGAACCAATGTTTGACTTTCTCCTCTTGTTAGTATATTCTGCGTATTTGGTAGATTTTGTGTTTCCTCTCTATGATGGATGCTCAAATCATTAGTTTTCACTCCTCTTTTGTATGCATTTAAGATAATCATTTCTCTTTAAGTTCATCTTTGATAAAATTCACAAGATTTGATAAATTGTATTTTTCATTATATTTAAGTTATAAAGATTTTCTAATTTCCCTAATAATTTCTTCGACTTCTGAATAGTTTAAAAATGTGTCACGAATGACCAATTATGAGGTTTCTGTAATTATCAATTTGTTATTGATTTCTAACTTAATCACACTGTAGCGACTAAGTTAGAAACCTTGGAAATTTATTAGGTGTTTCTTTCTAGACAATATATCATCAGTTTTGTCAAATGATTTGTATTTGCTTAAAACTATTTATATTCCACAGGAGTTGGGAGAAGAATGTTTGGTGTAGACTAAACTTTGTAATTGTATCATACCAATCAATATCCTATATGTTTACTGAATCTTTTGTCTGTTTGGTCTACCCATTACTGAGTAAAGTGTGTTGAATTCTCTCTTGAGATTGATGGCTTGACCTACTGTCTTGAAGGTGTCAATTTTTGCTTACAAGTCAAGAATTTTCATACCTATTTAAAACCAATACAAGAAAGTCAATCGTTGGTTCTTTGAAATGAATTGCCCTAAAGTCTAATTGTTTAATAAACATTTCATTATATCAGGTTTTGTTTGGTCATATTTACCTAACATATATTTTTTCATACTTTTACTTTCAAATTTTCTGTTTTGCATGTATCTGTTGAGAACACGGTCATAGCTGAATTTTTATTTTCTTCTTTCTCATAACAATTTTTCACTTTTAACTGGAGCATTTAGTCTGCTTGTATTTATTGTGATTACTGACATAATTGAGGGAATTTCTACAATTTTATTCCATGTTTTTGGTTTTTCCTACCTTTTATATGATTGTTTTTCCCATCTCCTTTCTTACCTTCTTTTGGAATTGCTGAATATTTTTCTTATCCTTTGTTTTCCTTCTGTTTCTTTGAAAGTTGTAAAATCTATTTGCACTCTTTCAGTAGTTAATCCTGAACTACTAAGACATATACTTAATTTATCAAAAGCTTAAGTTAATATATTTCCCCTACTCCTGAAAGACACAGAGCATTTGCAACAGTTTTATTACAATCAACCGCCCTCGTCACTTAGATATGTTATTTTGTTATGTTTTAAAACTGTATTTGTTTTGTTGTTCCTCACGAGACAGTATTATTTTTTGCTGTATACAATCAATATTTATTTACAAACATACTTATTGATTTATTCGCTCTTCATTCTTCATTGCATCTCAGACTTTCCACCTGAGATCCTTCTGCTTGGAATACAATCTTCAAAGTATTTTTAGTGAGGCCATGCTGAGAAAAAAAAAAGAAACATTTATTTATTTATTTTTTATTGTGGTTTAAGAGAAAATTTACAGTTCAAGTTGGTTTCTCATACAAAAATTTATACACACATTGCTGTGTGACCCTAGCTGCTCTCCCTATAATGTGACGGCACACTCCTCCTTTCCACCTCAGATTTCCTGTGTCCATTCTACCAGCTCCTGCCCCTTTTTGCCTTCTCTTCTCACCTCCAGACAGGAGCTGCCCATTTAGCCTCATGTATTTACTTGAGCTAAGAAGCACTCTCTTCATGAGTATCATTTTATGTCCCATAGTCCAGTCTAATCTTTTTCTCAAGATTTGGCTTCGGGAATGGTTTCAGCTCTGGGCTAACAGAGAGCCCAGGCTTCATGTCTTCCGTGGTCCCTCCAGTCTCAGTCAGACCATTAAGTCTGGTCTTTTTACTAGAATTTGAATTCTGCACCTCACTTTTCTCCTAAGAAATCTAGCTTTGCCTATCTGATGTTTACTTCCATTCTTAAAAAATGTTTTCACAGTTCATAGAATAAAGTTGACAGCTAATCTTCTCTTATCATTTCAAAGTTGTCATTTCACTATCTTTTAGCCTCCAATGTTGTTGTTAAGAAGTTAAGATCAGTTTTAATTGTTGCTCCTTTGTCTTCAATATTTTTTCTGTTGACTATGATGTGTTTAAGTGTGAGTTTATTTTTACTTAACCTGATTGGCATCAAGGGTGCCTTGAATCTATGTCAAGTCCATTGTTGCAGCCACTGTGTCAATTTGTCTCACTGAGGGTCTCCTTCACCCTTGCTGGACCTCTACTTCACTAAACCTAATGTTGCCCTCTAGTAATTAATCTCTCTTGATGACATGTCCAAAGTAAGCAACTCACAGTATTTTGTTGTGCTCGATAAGGTTTTCATTGGTTAATTTTTTATTGTAGATTGCCAGGCCTTTCTTCCTAGTCTGTCTGAGAGTTGGGCTTTCTCAGTATCTTCTCTGTCTCTTAATTTTTCCTTTATTTGTTCTATCTCTTTTGTTTATCTAACTACATTCTAGGTTATTTGTTCAAGTATAACCTAAAGTCCACAAATTCTCTCTAATCTTCTATTAAACCCATCAAGTGAGGTTTTTGTCTATTTTTTTCTATTTCTAGATTACCTGATTGCCTCTCTTTACGTTTGCTCTTTGTACACATATTTAAGCCTCTTAATTCTTCAAAGGTATCAAAAATACTCATTTTTTACCCTACTTATGATGAATAACACAGTGCAATCCTGCTGTGATGTTATTCTGCTGATTTATGATGTCTGGTCATCTTTACAATGAGCTGCTCATTTTTCATGGATTTTATCTATTCAAAATCTTTGCAACTGGAGATTAAGATGTGTTCTTCCTGAAAAGATTTATATATGTATCTGCAATGTATAATCTATGGACAAACAGCAATTAGGACTGCTTTAATCCAAATGTTAAAGATTTTGGGACCACTCAAATACTATAAATGTGAACTACAAACATATGTGGGGGCCATTTTATGGTATATAGTATGACAGATTGCGATGGAGGTGGGATTATCTGTCTTCACAGATATTCCTTTTTGGATTAAAGCATTATAGAAACCCATGTTCAAAAAAATGACAGAAATTGTTCCTTAGTAGGAAAACAAATTAGGACAGAAGTTCTGAGAATTCATTTGTAAGTTTTTTTATGAACGGAAGTGCCTCCAAATTGTACTAGAAAGCTATTCTCTATCTTCTCTTTCTTAATGACACCACTTCATAAACACTTACCATATGCACAGCAGGCACTGTACATACGTACATATATACGTATATGTGTATATATATAAGGAGCCCCGGTGGTGCAGTGGTTAAAGCCATCGACTGCTAACTGACAGGCTGACGGTTCAAAACCATAGCAGCTCCACAGGAGAAAAATGTGGCAGTCTGCTTCCTTAGAGATTAACAGCCTTGGAAACCCTATGAGGTCGCTATGAGTTGGAATCAGCTCAAAGGCAGTGGGCGGTATGTGTATACATATATATACGGATATATAAATTAATTTAACCACAACAACCCTATGAGATAGGTTCTATTATCCCCATTTTACAGATGAAGTAACTTAGGCACAGAGGTATTAGACAACTTGTTCAGAATCACACAGCTTGCAGGTAGAAGAACCACAATGTAAAAACAGTTGCATGATATCTAAGTCCATACTCTTAGGCACTCACCTATACACAGGGGTCAAGATACTATTAATAACATCTTTAAATTTCCACAGCATTTTATAAAAGAGGCTTTACAAATATTGTTATACTTTCTTTCTAAGAGTCTGATGGACTAATAATGAAAGGTGTAATTATCCTCTTTTACATGTGAGAAAATTGACACACAGATCATTGTAGCTATATAGGGGCAAAGTTAGCCAGAGTTATTTCCTGTAACATGGTCCATATTTCTCTGTGTTCAGTGTGAATAGAAGGTGGGTTTATGCCAATAGAAATTGGAATAGCAACTGACCTAGAGATTTATTCTCTTCTTTGTTTACAGATCCCAGGATCGCTAACGCAATGGCTTGGGGAAGAAATAGTACAACAATTACCAATTTCATCCTGTTGGGATTCTATGAATTTCCAAAGCTCACCATTGTCCTGTTTTCAATATTCCTAGGGATCTACCTCATGACAGTGTCTTGGAACCTGGGCCTCATCACCCTCATCAGAGTGGATTCCCATCTGCACACACCCATGTACTTTTTCCTCAGTAACCTGTCCTTTCTAGACATCTGCTATGTTTCCACTATAGCCCCCAGGATGCTCTCAGACTTCTTCCAGAAGCAGAAATTCATCTCCTTTACGGGGTGCACCACACAGTACTTCTTCTTGTCTTGCCTGGGTCTGACCGAGAGCTGTCTTCTGGCATCCATGGCTTATGATCGATATGCTGCCATTTGTAACCCTCTACTCTACACAGCCATCATGTCCCCAACTCTCTGTCTACAAATGGTGGCAGGATCTTTCATCACTGGATTCCTTGGCTCATTTATCCAACTGTGTGCCTTACTTCAGCTCCATTTCTGTGGACCAAATGTTATTAACCATTTCTTCTGTGACCTGCCCCAACTGATGATCCTATCTTGCTCTGATACCTTTTTCTTACAAGTTATCGTCTCTGTGTTCACAGTCTTCTATGGACTGGCTTCTGTACTGATTATCATGATATCCTATGGTTATATCGTTGCCACCATTTTGAAGATCACTTCAGCTGAAGGCAGATCCAAGGCTTTCAACACCTGTGCTTCTCACCTGACAGCAGTGACCCTCTTCTATGGCTCAGGCACCTTTGTCTATTTATGGCCCAACTCTGACGATTCTCTTAGCCAAAACAAGCTTGTTTCTATTGTATACACTGTGGTGATTCCCATGTTAAATCCACTGATCTATAGTCTCAGAAACAGGGAGCTCAAAGATGCCCTTGACAGATGGAAGAAGAGAATTTTCTCCTGACATTATTTTTTTAACAAGGTTTGCATATCTTACTGCAAGATAAGTGATACAAAACATGAATACAGGTTTTAAATATATATAGTTTAGTATCACTTCAAGACTGGTGGAAAATATTGTCTGGTAGACTTTCATCTATTAATGAACAGTAATTACTGGCGTTTGTTAATGGGAGTCTTAACGCAGAATGTTTCTTTTCATCTTTTTTTTTTTTTAAATAATACTTTATTGTGTTTTTGGTGGAAGTTTACACAGCAAATTAGGGTCCCATTTGACAATTTCTACAGAAATTGTTCAGTGACTTTAGTGACATTTTTCTCAGTGAATCAACATTCTTTTTAATTATGTTCTCACTGTTCCATTTCCAGTACTCTAGTTTCCCTGCTCCCTTATCTTCTCAGCTTTATTTTAGTCTCTTGATGTGATTGAATATGGGGTGCCTTTTAGGGTCCAGGACACAAAACATGTACAACAGAGTATGAAAAATGAAACTTGTTATCTTGTAGTAGATTGTGTATCTCTGCTTCTGTATCTGCTTCCCCTCCACATCCTGGAGGAGGATTATGCTTCTTCATCTCTTTGAATTTAGTCTTGGGCTTGTGATTTTTTTTCTGGCAAATGAAATATGAGTGGACATGACATATGTCACTTCCAGGCAGAGGCTTCTTTCCTACTTACTCTTCTCTCAGTGCTCCCATAACTGGATGACCCAGGGTAAGGAGACCCTCAGCTGACCCAAGATGGATATGTAGTGTTATCAAGAAATAAAACTTTGTTTTGGATT